GGAAATGTTTTGGCTGAACCCTGTTTTTTCCCCCTTGGGGAAGTTGAAGGTTGTGGGAATCCAACTCCCAAATTCCCCCAACCCACATTGGGGCGTGGGGAATTCTGGGAGTTGAAGTCCACACATCTTCAAGTTGCCAAGGTTGAGAAACACCGGTCTACAGCCTACATTTCTCCACTCTGACAATTATCAGTTTTACTTGCACAGCACGTTCTTCATCTTCATCTTTTTTTTTTTTTTTTTATAAAACAGGATTTTATCCTTCCCAGCTCCTTCCCATTTTACCCATATAAGCTGTATACATTCAGCTTTAATTCAATTTGCAAATATACATGGAGATCAGTCTCCAGGTCTATGGCAAATACATTCCCATCTCTCCCCCTCCAAAGTAATATATCATGCCAGAGACAGAGGAAGATTGGGTAGAACGAACATAATAAAAATACAACTTTAGACCCAGGCCTGCAATGGTTGCTATTTTCATTTTTCTATGGCAGGCAAAAAATGTCACTAAGAGTACAGTTGAGAAACAGCTGTTTCCTTTTCAACTATTGTGCTCAGCAAGTAAGAGCATTAAGTGTCTGTCCCAAATTATCGTTTTTTAAATAGGAAACAAATGTTGGATTAAGACGGTCAAGGGGCCTGATGCATCAGCGCTAACCTTATGGACCAAATTCCAAAAATACAACTCATGGGTGGGAAGGGATGGAGGACAACAGCATGGATGGGAATAGGGCAAAAAGGTTCAGTTGATTGAATGATATTGAAACTTCAGCTTCAGTTATTCAGCTTACATTGTTTACTTACACTGACCTGATCACTCTCCACGTTTTTCTTCATTTTTCCCTTTCGAATATGTTACAAATGAGAATCAGGTGGCACATTTGGGAGAGGCTCAAGAGGACATGTTTGGGAGAGGCTCAAGACCGTAACTGGATTTAGCACAGAGCCTCTCCGCTGACATAAGATCAATGGATAAGCTGCCGATGGAAAAGTCCTTTCTCTACCCAAGGCTTTGGGAACTGCTGCCAGGCAGACTCAACCATACTGGGCTGGACTGAGAAACACTGCAATGGATAGTTTCTTTTTCCCCTAGCACCCCATGAGAGACCAGATCAGAGAACTCGACATTCCGATGCACGTAACCTCACCAAACTGAACGATATTGTAGTTGGTAATTTAGAAGCCCTACCTTCCTGCAGTTGCTGCAACTGCTTCTTTAGCGAGGCCAACTTATCCTGATACATTCTGCAAAGAGAACAGGTATTAAAAGAGACAGGCTCAGGGAACCTTCCATTTAATTTCATTTTTCCCCATTGCTGAAAATGCCAATAAGCTGCTTTTAAAAAAAAAATCTGCTTTAAAAAAAACCCAGAAACAGTAAAGAGTTCAGCTCGCAGTGACTAAATGGGCACATCCAAGCTGTTGTACTGCAACAATACAGAATTGAATTGCCACTGCTTTTTTTTTTTGAGATTTTTTTTTTCAACTTCCCAGTTTAGTCTACAGCCCAGGGATATCCTTGCTGGTCTCCCATCTACATACAAATCAAGACCAACCTTGTTTGTCTTTTTGAGGTTGGCTAGGGGATAGAAGCCAAAACGACTTCAGTGTGGAAAAGCAACATAAGCCTGCTGTCGTGATGTGGAATATGGAAATATGATCTTCTTTCAGACTTCCTGTTTTGTAGAACTAAAGAGCTTTGGCTTCTCAAAAGCACTTGATCACCAAAGGCCACATAATTAACTACAGGTAGCTGGATTACAATGGTGCCAATGCTGTATAAGATGAAATATTCTTGGGAGAAATGTTCAAAAGCATCTTGACGACTTTAAAGATGCTGCATGTAATTCAGAGTGCAAAAGAAGTCAACTAAATCAGCATGAACAAGAAGAGGGAAGAACACAATCACATTACAGACAGGAAGTACACACAGTGGCCCTGTGACATACTATTAACATGCTTAAAAGTTCAATATTCCCCAGGAGACATTCAGGATCAGTTCAGATATGAAGCTAAGGCACCATTCAGCAAAATCATGGTTTATAAGGCAGGCTTATTGTCAGATCAACAAGTTTAGGCTGTGGCCGACTCACTAAACTACAGTGAATTGTAAATTATAAACTTAATGTCTTTTATGCGGCCATGGCAGAAAAAAAAGAAGGTAAGGAAAGTCTTACCTTTTAGTGCAGGGCTGAAAAGGAATGTAGAAAGGCAATAACCCACTAAATGGCTAAGAAGAACAGGGTGGACAGTAGAATTCTGGCTAAAGATGAGATGATGGAGGCATAAGGGAAAGATAGAAGAGTGTGAGATAACAGGGCATGAATTAGCTAAAGGGAGAGAGAGATTTTTAGAAGGTACAGAAGGACATGGCAATGCAAAGGAGGGTGGGTTGGTATGCTTGACCTATGAGAATCGAATAATGCCAAGGCTTCATGACGGTCTTAATAATGTTATCAACTGAAGAGAAGATCTGGAGCTCAGGGTTGAACTGTAGAGTTCTTGGGGTTCTCTGAGCTTGGTTGTTTTCTTGCAGACATTTCGATACCTGACTAGGGAACATCTTCGGTGTTAGTGGGTGTGGGGTTTGCTCTCTGTTTATATACAATAGCTTGCCCTCTTAGTGTTGGAGGGGGTGTTGCTTTTTTCTTGGTAGTTCCTAGATTAGGCTGTTGTTTACTGCTTGATTGTTTGTCTGGTAGTTAATCCTGGTGTCTATCTCAGTGTTGATTGCTGGGGAGGTGTTCTGGTCTTTTCATTTCCTTTTTATTGTCACTTTTGAATGGTGTATAACTGTTATTTATGCGCCTGTTGATGGCTGATTTGTCTGAATACCAAGCTTCCAGGAATTCCCTTGTCTTTGGATTTAGCTTAGTCTAGGATGCTCATAGTTTCCCAGTGAAAACTATGGTTGAGTTTGTCCATGTGTTGTGAGATTAAGGAGTTTTCATCATGTCTTCTGACTGCTAGTTGTTCATGGATGCACTCTGCTAGTCTTCTGCCTGTCTCTTTATGCGCCTGTTGATGGCTGATTTGTCTGAATACCAAGCTTTCAGGAATTCCCTTGTCTTTGGATTTAGCTTAGTCTAGGATGCTCATAGTTTCCCAGTGAAAACTATGGTTGAGTTTGTCCATGTGTTGTGAGATTAAGGAGTTTTCATCATGTCTTCTGACTGCTAGTTGTTCATGGATGCACTCTGCTAGTCTTCTGCCTGTCTCTCCTACATAGTGGCTATTACAGTCCTTACACTGTATGTTGTATAGTTACATTTCATTTATGTTGTATACTTATACTTATGTTGTGTGTGTGTGTATGTATGTTGTACAGGAGTCATCTACAACATACAACAAGTATTCAGACAAGTCAGCCATCAACAGGGTTAGCTGGTCCACACATCTTAAAGGTTGTTGAGGTTAAGAAACACTGATATAGAAGATTCTGCAAAATCTTCGAAAAACAGTGAGAGTTATTAGGATCTAACAGCAGAACAGAGTGAGATTACAACCAAGGATGAAGAATGGAACCCAAGAGAAGGAGGGAGGAATACCCATCTGTGGAAATGCTGATCAGTTTCACATATCACAGTAAGCAATGGTTTGTTTAACCAGGAATGGTTCAATAAGGAACAACTGGTTCACTCAGTGCTAAACAAAAAACTACAATTCACAAACCACAATGGGGGGATTTACACCACTTCTAAGTCAAATCACATTATGGTTTAGTGCAATGTGTGAAACCAGCCACAGCCTGGGGTGTGTTAAGCCACTGTTTACTGACCACATAGACAAGATTCGTAAATAATGCCAAACTAAAATCAATTAATCCTGTTTAAGTGTGATCTGTGAACCCTGTCTATTATTTCTTTAGGGAGTAGGAAGAGAATCACGAAGACAGAAATGAGATGGATAAATCATAGCTTCTAAAACCCATGGTGAGGTCAGTTTAGTGAGGACAATTTTCAGCAGAGGGCAGAAGGCCAGACTGTGTGGAATCCAAAGGACGTTAGTCCAATGAGCATTAATGAGGCAGAAAGACTACATTAAATTTCAAAAGCATAGAGAGGTAGAAGAAAGGCAGAATGAAGTAAGGAAAAGGTTCTCTGATCCCCAAAGTTCTGGCTATGAAATTCTAAGGCTTCTATTTTTAACCTGGTATTAGTCTGAACCTCTTTCTCACCACTGAGTTCATCACTCGTCATTACCAGTACTCATCTGAAGCTCAGTCACCATGTCTGTGACATTCCCTTGTTACAGGTGGTGTCAAATATAATTATAGCAAAAACGGAGGTAATACTCACTGTTCCTTCATTTCTACATAATCTTCCTCATCGTGTTTCGCCAGATCAGTTTCACTGGCATCTTCCGTATCTAAGCAACATGATCAGCACAGTGTCAGAAGACATCAAACAGCACATTTTTGCTCAAGCATTCCTCCAGGTGACCCTGCAGGAGCAACATTGACTTATTGGCCTTTCTAAAGCTGATGGCTCTAGAAATGTGGGACCTCAACGAATCAGGAGGGGCTTTGGAGACGGGCAATGTTTTAAAAAGTTGTTTTAAAAACTAAACCCGTGAAGGAAGATATCTAAATGTCATTCCTTAGTGAGGTGGTGGGGTGATCCTATTATAAAACTGGAACTTGTCATTGTCTGGTTTCCACTAGACATCACAAGAGGTTTTCAACAGCATCTCCTGTCAATTCCTTCTTCAAAATTCACTGCAGATTTTTTGGGGGGGTGGGAATGTGAGAAAACATCTAGAGGTGTCTGTTAGCAAATTCCAACTTAGATCATTCCAACAGAAGATAATATATGTAGCTCAGGGTT